GCTATGACCTGGTATCTGGTGTGTGGGCGTGTGCGTGCGTGTGTGTGTGCGTGCGTGTGTGTGTGTGTGCGCGCGCGTGTGTGTGTGTGTGTGTGTGTGTGTGTCTGTCTGTCTGTGTGTCTGTGTGTGTGCATGTGTGGACTGGCGCTGCTTTTGATGCGACTTAACTCCTTCCTCACTAAAGATCGAACCTCCAGGACGGAGTCGTCCTAATCCTCCCGTTAATCAAGAGCTCAACAAACACAGCCAGTATGTAGAAGATTTGATTGGAACTTTTTTCTTGACCCCTGCAAGGCTTCGAGGAAATCAGAGAAACTAGTGTAGATATTAGTGCTCGCATTTTGCTAATGGGCTTCTTGGGACTTCAATTGACCATTTGACCTGTACGTTAGCAAAGACATTCAAAATGGCCCATTCCAGTGTTGACTGCCAAGGCACCTTGATGGACGGTATTGCAGATATCGTGGAGGAAATACGAGCCCTCGAGACCCAAGGCCTGATGTGGCTTTTTTTCACTCACAGGGTCGACAGATGGTCCACAAACCCAAGGGTGGAACTCGAGACACCTCAAAATTCTTTAATTGCATGCAGTTCAGGGTTTCGGGCTGGCGGAAACTTAGTCTCCCATGCTTGCAGTCCCTCAAGCGGATTTCTCGGAAGCCGTCCGGGCGCTTAACTTAGCTACGCCCAGAAGCTTATGTACACATTACTTGAACTTGAGCCCATGAACTGCGAAACCTGATTTTTCTTGCAAGCAGAATGGCACTCATCTTTGGGTTAGACGAGGCGCTGTGCACTCTTCTAGCTCTTCTACCTGCCTATGTCCTGAAGCGCAAGTCCTGGACATCTAGTTGCGACTTGATTCATGAAGGGAATACTCCAATTTCGTAGCATCCTATGGTAGAACAGGTGTTGTCGAAGAATCACGATGGAGAAGTTCCGTGTATGCCTGCCCAACGAGGATCTAACTTCTAAAGCCCGAAGGCTCTTCTGAATGGAGCGCCAGGTCAACACTGGACACTTGCGTGGTCCATGATATGCGTCGCCCAGTCAGCAAGTGCTCCAGGAGTCTAAGGACACGAACAACAGATATTTCTCTTAATCCAGATACCATGATTTGGGTGGCAGGCATGAAGGACACATCTCTGAACTCTAAAATTGAAGCCCTAAAGCCAAGCCCAGAAGCAGGAAACTCCACTGTGCCCAGGTCTTTTTCTTCTACGTCCTACTCACAAACATCACCGTCATGAACATGCTACTGGGTCAATGTGAAGTAATGTGAAGTTAAACTGTTTGCACACATTCTTAATGAGTTTCACATGGGCTCCTGGTCTGGCCCGGAAGAAATTGAATCAACCTCATGGGTCAGAGTATGTCTTACATTCCTCAGGTTTTCTGGGAGGCTTTGGCGCCAGGGGTCCCTTTACCCAATCTTTCACGCTGTTGTGGCCTAGTTCTGGTTTCCCCTGCAACGCAAGCAGGATCTTTGGGTAGTTGGCCCCTTGACCAACATTTGATCCGCGCAGAAGAGCCAAGGCTCATCGGCATTGTTTGCGAAGTCGTCTCAGAGGTGAAGTTGAGCGACGAGATCCTTGGCCAAATAGCAAATAGTGCGCCTTTTCAATTGGCTCCGAGGCTGAAGCGAGGCAAAAACAGGCCTGGCAAGCTTCACTTCCTGAACAGGCCCCTCAAACGTTCACAACACCTTCCGCTTCGCTGTTTGTCTCATAAGCGTTCCCTGCACTGGTGCGACGAGGGGCAACGTCATAAATGCGTACTTTTTGCTTGTCACAATCACAAGCATGCTCCTCATCTCCATTGCCCGGCCTCCATACGTGACATGCTTGGAAAGACAGTTACAAGAATGTATTGAGTGCCGGGGGGAAAACACATGATTCTAAGCATCTTATTCAGGATTTATGGACGTGATTGTCCAAGTTACCTTAGATATGTCAGTCTACTCTAAACGAGCTCAAGAAAACTGTAGCCCGTCGTTTCCGCGCTTAATCCGTCCGCCTCATAGCCTCGGTAGTGCCCGGTATTGCCAAATAGGCTTAAGTAGTCACCCTTTATTTCATGTGCCTCCCAACCTTCAGGAAGAACACAGCCGTGGATTATTTGAGGAGGAACCTGCGGAACCTCCTCATCGAGCCTCGACTAAACTTTAAGCTTTCTTTATGCGGCGGTCAACCCAGCACTGAGACACAGGCAATTAGGAAGAGAATGGGTCATGACAGACATCCCAGAGGTTGTGCTTTTTTGCGCGTCGTGATTAGGAAAGAGCTTCTTTGATATGTGGGTTTGGGGTTAGTATGCAGCCTCCAGCATCTAGGTTAATGTCGAATCCTGATCAGTCTGCTGGGCTGGCCAAACTTGTTCATAATAAGCACCTTCCCAGTTCGTTTGGGGGGGTTGCTGGTTTGCGCAAATTTCCCCGGTCCGAAATATAGGCCAAGCTCTACCTTGATTCTAAGTCAGCTAGGTTTCACCTGACCTGTTTGTCTTATGAATTAAGGCCTGAATCCATGCTGCTCTCTGAACACCTCTGAACCCCTGCTGAATGCCTTCTGAAACCCTTCTCAGTCATTGTCCGAGCTGGAACCTCCGATCGGACGTAGTGTGAAATTGCGATCCAACTTGGTAGGTGCCCCCATAGCGCGGAGATACCTATGTTTGCTTGAGGGTGGGGTAGACAATCAGGACCCCACTTGGAGGATTTTTTGGGGGGGTAGGCTGCGGGTGCGGCGCAGATTGCGTAGGCATTTACTTTTTCGTGGCTCCTGAGCTGACATGAGGGGTGTTTTGTCTGCTGTTTGTTTGGCTTGGATGCCTGCAAGCCGCTAAGACCCGACATCCTCAGCTCTGGACTTCAAGCCTAAAAGCATCAATAGGACAAGACAAGCAGAGACGTAAGCAAGGCAGAAATTGTGTTTTGAGGCCACCCGCCCCTGCCTTTGGCAATAGTGTGAAAGCAATACTTCAGCTGCGGGACTAGCAGATCATGTGCAATACAAACTGGCGACCGTTCCTTCGCCTCCAACTCCATCCTTGCAACCTCATATACCCAACCTGTCTCGCTTTTCTGCTCACGCATGTTATGCGCTGAATGATACAGTGCACTCGCATCCATCACAGGAGCTTGACGAAGATGACAATAACCAGCAACTCAGCCATATCTTCTTGAGGTGTCGGGGTCTTGATGTTGTGGAGAGCAGAAAGGGATCTGTAGCATGGACTGGAGGGTCGCCAGGTCCGCGGTTACGGACTTGGGCAAGCTTCGGATGAGTTGAGGGTACCTGCTTTGTAGGTTTCATGACTGGGGACCTATTTTTGGCGCTCATTCGTTTGCGCTGCAGGATTCAAGGTAAGTTTCAGATTAAGGTATGGGGCTTGGAAGGAGCTGACTGGAAGGAAGACTCTCGTGATGACCTCCCTTCAGACAGCTTAATGAATTTCCCCTGCCATGAAAGACATTACTGGCCCTGATGAAAGCGAGCCCTTATAGGAATTAAACTTACTGCTGAGACCGCTAATGTGTTCAAGGGGTGCGTTCCTTTTTGGCCGTAGAGGAGACCAGTGCTGAAACTGGAAGGGGTTCAGTAGTTTGGCCTTCTGATCCAGGTCGCACGAGACAACACTCATAAGAACCAGCCTCTTCTAGTCCTCCTCCAGTTTGCACTGGCAAGCAGTATCTACATGTTCAGAAAGGCTGCAGGGGAGGGTGGGAGGCTTACTTGCAGGGTCAACTTGGGAGCATTTTTCCGAGAGGTCTTGCTGGTCGATTTAGGAGGAAGGCCCAACATCTGAGATTTCGTTTCGTGATTACAAGTGAAAGTTTTACAGCAGGATAGATGCAAAACTACAATTCTCAAGTTGGTTTCGTGCATGTGCAGGAAAATCTCATGCACCACATCTAGAGCTTTGGGTAAGAATCCTATGTCCAGAATACAGTCCCTGGAAGTCCCTAATTAACCGATCCCAAAGTCCCTTCAAAAGAATCAGATGCCCGTGACAGCTGTTAGGCGTCCACGCCCTAAATGTCAGCCGTTCCTTTCTGGCCTTCTAAGCCCGAAAATCTGAAGCCCAATGTCTTGTACGTCTTTCGCTAAAGACCTCCTCATCCAATGTTGGCGCCCAGGATCTCGAAAAGTGAGCTGCAGGCCGTACCCTGGCCACAGGACACTAAGTCTTCTGGGGTTTGCCTTGACCAAATATGAAGGATCCCAAGCGGACAGAGAAGGTGAACGCAGTGTTCCTCATAGCATTTAGCAGCCCAGCTGAAGACCGTTACCTAACTTTTGAACAAAACCACACAGTCTGGAAGACACACACAAGTGTATCTAAACAATCATGCTTTGCATTGTGCAGACCGTTCAAGATT